CCCCAAAACCCCAAAACCCCAAAACCCCAAAACCCCAAAACCCCATTATATTACGAAATATTGAATATTTTAGCAGCATCTGATCCTTCACTAATCTATCATCCGACCTTAAAAATTACAACACTTCACAAGTAATTTTTCATTTTAGAGAGAATCGACACACTTAATAATACATTCTTTGGCTCTCATTCTCTTTGTACTCAAGCTCGATCTTTGCTATCAGCTCTTTACTGATAGGGGAGTTTGACAACAACTTTGGAAAATCAGAACTGTTCACAATCTCTATAACAGTGTTATTTTGGAGAAATCTACTCAGTGAAAGTTAAGCCAAGTCATAGCTTTGGGAAAGAAACCATGCTTAGTTTACCTAATGCAGACATCATTATTTCTAAAATTTTAGCTCTACGGATCTTCCCAGCACAAGGCTTGCTACTAATGAGCAATAATTTTAAGTTGGATTGGGTTCGGAAGAATTTGGAAAATTACAGAATTTTTGTAGTGAAACATAATTTTTATTTGATTCATAGTAGAGGATAATTTGAAGAGATTACCCGACATATTAAAATATTTATCAGAGTTTCTTGGAGTCTACAGGTAGCAGTTTATTGTAAATACTTAAGTTTCAAGCAAAAATTTAGACTAAATCGGGTGTTTTGATGATGAGATACAGGTTCTTACCTTCAACTTCAGGATTTATCTCTGAATTCTGACTAACTAGAGGGAGATCTGAAACATATTCTATATCTATCAAGTTTTGATCAACAATATTCTCTTCTCCCTCAACTTCTTGGAGAATCTCATCGCTCTTGCCAGTGTTTGAAAACATGGCTTTTGGGATATCGGCTATATAATTCAAAATTTCTTCAAAACTAAGTTCAAGGATCTTTTCTTCGAAGAGTCCTAGGAGAACAACAGCTGTTTGGAAAATGACTACATATCCATCTATTACGAAATTGTCCCAGAAGAAGACCAGATTTTCATGGAGCTCTGGTGTCTTCTGATTTGTCACAGCTGTGCAGAAGCATGTGATGAACCAGGCAGAGGAGAACAGTGAGGATGTTATGTGTTCATTCTTAAAATGTTCATGCAAATCTGGTAGGTACAAGGAAATCAACCGATCAAGCACATAGAAATATAGCTTTAGTCGTGGTAAAGTTGCGTTAAATAGCTCTGTCAGATCGAACTTCTTTATCAATGCTAGCAGAGCTTTGAACGCATCTTGCTCATCTTTGTAATAGAAGTAGAAAAATCCAGCAAGGAAATTCATACCTTGGCAGTACTCTATTTCTGGATTATAGAAAGCGTAAGTTTTCAGAATATTGGAGAGATTTTCTTGACTAACAGCAGCAGTATTATTAAAGGATCTTTGAACATCCAGGATGATGATCTCTTCAGCTTTTTCAATCATCTGAGGATTCTGGTTGATTTTATCGCGTAAAGCAATATAGTCTAGCTTGACCTCCCCAATTTTTAGAAAATAATTCCAAAGGAAAGATCTCTTCTCTTGTGAAACATTCTTACGAGCATTTAGTAAGCATCTTCTGTAAATAATCGGCTTTAGAAACTTTTGTGTAGATTTATTTAGACTCAGAATATTCATCAAATCTTTATCTGAGTTAAAGTACTCACTAATTAAGTAGAGAACAACAAGACCGGAGTCATTCTCAAGAGTTTCCATTAGGGTTTGCCTTCTTTGTATGATTACTCTCATCTGTTCTTGATCTGTGAAGCCACCTGTAGAGTATGTAGATTCAAGCTCAGAGAGAATTAACTGAGTCCTGTCTTTGTCAAGCTCATATTTTTCACAGAAGTGTAAGATAATTTGCTTAGAAATATCTAGAGGTACTTTAAATTGCGAAAGGTGTCTCAGATAGACAGATAGGACATTGAACATTATGTTCATTACAGTTCGATGGTCTCATCCTGTTTCTTCTAGCTGCTCGATTTCTTTCCTCTCTTCCTGATCAAGCTCGAAAGAAGTAAGTGGTTTGGTCATTCTTGATAGCCATTTAGACATCATACTTGCATTGGGGTCATCTTTCTCAGCCTGTTCTTTGAGATTATTTATACTTCTCCTCAATGATAATCTTCTTTTTGTCAATCTTATCAAGTTTATTTTTCAACAATGCAATTATAAATCCAGTATTTCCATAAACTTGGTTCTTTCCAGATAGAGTGAGGCAAGATCAAATCCGCGAGATAGTCTTTCCTAACTCGTGGAGTATCCGCTTGGCGTTTCTTACAGTAAATAGTAGAAGAACATTGAAGTACATTGTTGATGATCTTAAAGCCGTTGTGCTTATCACTTGTAGATTCTGTTATCATAATATTCACGATGTCACTAAGATCCTTCAGCACATGACTCTCTTTCACGTCAGTGATGGACATCAAGTCTTCAGAGATTCTAAGGTTGACTTCATGTAAATGGACAAAGTTTAAGATATCTTCTTTGTCTTCTTGCTTAAGCTCTGATTTATTCTTGATCATATCTTTTATCTTCTGCTGAACAAAGAGGACATTCTTATCGATTTCCTCTTGTGAGATGCTATTCTCTTCAAATGGGTTTGCATCAAAACTGCTGGTGTCAGTGCTAGGTTGGCAACCATTTTCATTGGAAGCATTGCTCACTCTTTTCGGTTGATAAAGTTCTACTTCCAACTTTCCGAGGAGAGCTTTCTTTTGACTTTTCGTTCTGTTCTCATCAACGAATATTTGGAGGTCAGTGTGATGATTTATCATTTTAACAGAATCGTTAAATTTTTCTTCCTTCAGAAGAAGGACAGTGTGGCACTGGGAGTAATAATCCAAGAACTTCTCCATGGTATGCTTGACGAAATTTATTCGCTTCTCTTCTTGAGCTTGCAAAGCTGATAAAGCAGGGTAGTACTCATTATCAGCCTCTTGGATCAAGATATTGAAAAACTCAACTTCTTGTTTATACTCTTGAAAGGAGAGCTCAGTTTTATGTTCTAGGTCTAAATTTCTGTCATCCCTCTTTGTTTCCTCCTGTTGCTTCTGCTTTCGTTCTAGTTCTTCTTCACTTTTAGCTTGGGTTTCAAAATTTTTGAAATATCTTTCTCTGGTTTTCTTGACTTCTCTCCGAGCAGCATCAATTTCTTGGAGGTACTTTTTAGAATGATCGTAATGTTGCTTGTTCTCAGCTTGATACTTTCTTGTAAATACAAGAGAAGGGATGTATAACAAATCATCAAACTCGTCTAGTTTCCCTCTCATGTCAGAAAGCATGTTCTTCATTTCAGCGCTGAAGGAAGACATTCAAATCATGGTAGTGTCGAGTGTGCAGAATTTCAGCATTTCGTTCTCAAAGATTTTCAGAGATTTCTCAAGTGTAGATCTGTAGGTGTCATAAGCTCTATGGAATGTTTTGGTAAAATTGATCAGCGCATCTCAGATGTTGGCTCCCTTATTTACTATTCTCTTTGATAGCTTCGAGGCTACCCCACATGTTGAGTGGGAAATCAACTTGCTTCCTACGCAGCTCTTCATTCTCCTCTTGGTCAACCTCTTCATCTGTAATTGTGGCTGAGTAGTCGGAATTGTGCTTCTCCTTTAATATAAGTGGATTTCGGCTCAATGAAGAGTGCTGGTTTGGGTCTACAACCTTATTTAGTGGTACTGTAGGGATAGTATTTAGTTTCTCCATTTTAAAGATTAAATTATAAATCTTTTGAAATGGGGTTTTGGGGTTTTGGGGTTTTGGGG